ACAGATGTCTGGGGGGCACGTCAACACAACTGACATTTGAAGAAAACTGAATTTGTGTTTTACAGCGCTGTATTATTTTTGTACTTTTTGCACCCAAAAATTTCATCGCCTGCCCAGCTACGATTAAGTTGTTTCAACAAACATGTTGCAAGGGTAGAAAAAAAAAAGTCTGTGTCTGAAAACTGTATACTGGGGGTACTTAGAATTGTTTTAAGGGGGGTACTTATAATGTTTTTTTGAAAAAAAGGTACTTTATTAAAAAAAAAAAAAAAAAAGTTGAGAAACACTGGTCTTGATCATCCCTGACAGGTGTCTGTCTCCTTCCCCTCCGTCATCTGTGATAATCTTGACATGGGTATAGTCCCTCCCTACACACACTTCAATTCCCCATTACATGAAAGGCCCCTCCCCCAGGAGCAGTGTCAAGTGTTTAATTACTGTTAACCTGCGAGGGACTCATTGCGACCACTTGATCCAAAAGCAATATGGCCCGGCAGCTTTAATTCACGCGGCTCCGCCCCGACAGGACTGGCAGTAGTATGTGTCTCCCGTTATTCGTCTGTCTCTCCGGAGCGGCTGGGGGCTGTGGCACAGTGCACGCGGTGCTGGGGTCAAAGGCTCGGGGCCCAGCTGCCCTCTGGTTGGTCGGTGGGGCGCTTGGGTGGTTCTGCCAGGGCTTCCAGGTCCTAGGCAAAGTTGGTGGCAGGGTTTGGAATTGAACCCAAACGGCCTGGCTCCCAGCTTGTCCCACCTGCGACAGCATCTCTCTCCCCAGCTGGGGCTAGACCCCAGGCGGCTTGGCTCCCAGCCCCCACCCCAGACTCCCTCCCCCGCCAGCTGGACTAAATAGACCCCAGAAACTTAACTCTGTCTTCGCCCGCCCTGCTCTGGCCCACCAGCCCCCCACTCCCTTGCCAGAGCTGGCAAGAGGCCCCAGGACCCTTTGCTGGAGTGACTCCACCAGGAAATCCAGGCCAGCCGCAGCATGGGGCGAGCTGTGGAGTTAAGAAATCCGCTACCTAAAATCACCCAAATTTGACGCTAACTGCACAACTGCCTGACTGGGCTGCCCAGTGCCCGCTGGTGGCCAGGCCGGGGATCAGGCGCTCACCCTAAGCTCAGCGTATTTACATTTACATTTAATTTAAAGTGCTGCCAGACTATTTGTTGTTTTTTAAGTGTATCCTGTACAGACTAACTCGGCTACCCCTCTGAAGCTCAGAGTATTTGGCACTCGGCTCTCTCTGCACATCCTAATCCGGGGTGGGAAATCATTTTTGTAGGAGGGCCACTTCACCCATTTTGGGAGTGGTACGCAGACCAGCTCCACCCCCAGAAGGGGCGGGGCTTCAGTGGAAGGGGCGGGGCCTAAGCAGTGCCCCTGGGGGAAGCACAGGAGACTTTATGTGCCTCCCCCCCCACCGGGACAGGGGAGCATGTGAAATCTCTTGGCCCTTGCCCTGCCAGTCCGGTAATTGTGTCTTCTGTCCAGTAAAAAAAACCAGAAAATTCCGGACATGTAAAATGTCGGGTGTAGGGTTGCCAAATGGTTTCAACAAAAATACCAGACACGTGTGACATTACATCTCAATCTACATTGAATCTTATTTAGAAACTAACGGACATTTCTATTTTCTCAATTTGTTTCCCGAACAGAAAGCTCAAATACTGGACTGTCCGGTTCAAAACCGGACACCTGGCAACCTTAGTCAGATGGAAGGCCGACGGGACGTCTTTCCCTTCCCGCATGTGGTGGGGGCGGGGGAAGTGGGAGAATTTAAAGGCGCAGCAACTTTTTAAATTTTTTTACTCAACAAGTTTGGTCTCCCGTTTGTTTGGTTTTTTTCTCAACCAATTTTTCCCCACCATGTTCGGGATTCTTTGTGAACGTATTTGGCAACCCTAAGGGAGCCGCTAGCCATTCTGAACAGCTGGCGGTTCCCTCTGGTGCCATGGGCCCTGGCAAGGGGAGGAGACTTTGCACACACCCCTAACCCCAGGCCCTGATTGGCCTAGGAGTGGGGGGCACATGAAGTCTCTCCCCCCACCCGTGGCCAGGGCCCTGCCAGGGACGCACGGTGCCTACAGGAGGCGGGGGAGCAGCTTGGCAGGCCAGAACTGGCCCATGGGTTGTAACTTGCCCACTCCGTCCTACTCTATAGGGCAACACAGTGAGAGGTGACTGTTCCTCCTCAGGAGGCTGGCACTGAAAGGGTTAAGGCTGTGGGAGGAGGGAGGGAGTCATTGGGCAGCAGGGTTAACACTCCATTCAGCTGAATGGAGCCAGTGCCCCAGTGCACACGGGCCAGTCCAGCCATGGCCTAGCAGGTGTGACTCCACTGAGGCTATGTCTAGACTGCCGAGAAATGCGTCCGCTTTTCCGAAAAAAAAAGTCGGAAAAGCGGATGCGTTTTTTTCGGCATCCCTGTAAACCTCGTGTTACGAGGAAGAAGGGATGTTCCGAGAGAGGGTTTTTTCCGAAATTTGGCCCCGTGTAGCCTCTTTCAGAAGTAAATTGGAAAAAGATTCGCCCCCGGGCAGGCTTTGCGCCCTTGGCACCTCGCTTCTGTTCGCAGACCCCGTGAAGGAGCACGGTGGGGAGTCGCATTCAGAAAGGGAAACCCTGGCTCAGGCGGGCTGACACCCAGGGCCGGAGAACCCGTCTGACCCAGCCGTGGGCAGCCCAGGCTAGAGAGCGGCCTCCTTCACCGCAGGGGGCTGCAAGATTGTAGGAACCCAGGCGGCCTCGTGGGACAGGACGGTTTGCGCACGGCGCTTGTGTACCTAGAATGGGGGAGGGACGCCAATGGGACTGTGGCAGCGCTGTGATTGGCTGCAGAGGGAGGCCCTGGCTCTCACAGGCAGCGCTGTGATTGGCTGCAGTGGGAGCGCCCAGCTCTCACAGGCAGCGCTGTGATTGGCTGCAGTGGGAGCGCCCAGCTCTCACAGGCAGCGCTGTGATTGGCTGGATTGGCTGCAGAGGGAGCCCTTGGCTCTCCCAGGCAGCGCTGTGATTGGCTGCAGAGGGAGCGCCCAGCTCTCACAGGCAGCACTGTGATTGGGGGAGGGTGTACCGCAGCTGTTTAGACCGAGCGCTGTCATCTGGTGCTGAAAGGCCAGGTTTGCTCCACCCCTCACGTCGGAATGGGACTTCCGGCAGTGCACCTGAACGTAGCTGCTTCTGGGGTGGGGCAATGGGGGCTTCTCCTCCAGTGCTGAGATGCAGCTACCTCTAGGGTGCAGCGTGGCAGATGATTATACCATGAGCACTCAGCACCAAGAGGCAGCCACCTCTGGGGTGGGGCGCAGCAGCTGTTTACAACCCATTGCCCAGAGGCAGGCGCTTGTGGGATGGGGCGCAGGGGCTGTTCGACCACCAGGCCACAGGCCAGCCTAGGGCAGGCCAGGTACGGTAACAGCTAGGTACCCCAGTGCCGCGGAGAGGGGAATGTATGGAGGTAAGAGACAACCCAGCTGGAATTTAGCCAGGACCCTGGCGTTAACCTTCCTGCTCCTTCCATAAATTGCAGCAGGCTCCAATTTGCGCCTCCTCAGAAAGCCGACCCGTGATTCCCCATTCCCCTAGGCAGGTGGGGAGGTGGGGGAGGGGAGGGAGCCATGCCCCCAGTTCACAGCTCCCATTTTACACAGGTCTGGGCTAAGGCTGTGGTGTGTTTCACACAGCTCCATATGTGCCTCATTCAGCGCACCATGGACTGAATGCCTGGCATGCTGGCAAGCAGTTGTGGGGGAGGTTGGTCCAATGGACCTCACCCCCCTCAATCTGGCCAGATGTAGCGTTATTGAAACAGATGTTTTTGCTGGCTCAGGGGCACAGATGAAGGGCTGCACAGCCTTGATTGGGTGGTTAAAACTAGCCCAGGGCAATGGGAACGCAAGCTGTGGCCAATCAGTCGGTGGTGTGACATGAAAGATCAGATCAGCTGTGATGACGAGAGTGGCCTCTCCGGAGGCCTGGCGTGAGGCACATGAAGTAGCAGGGCCTGGGCCGGTCCTGCCCTGTAGCAGCCGTGTGGGTGCACAGCTGCTGGGGTCACAGAGAGCACTGGGAGATGGGATGTGGCCCAAGGGCCTCCCATAGCACTGTGAAAGGATCAAACCATTGTTATTATTGATTAGGTGTATTACGGTAACAGCTAGGTACCCCAGTCATGGGCCAGAACCCCATTGTGCCAAACGCTGTCCCTTTTTCTTGCTATTAGGTGTATTATGGTAACAGCTAGGTACCCCAATCATGGGCCAGAACCCCATTGTGCCACGTGCTGTACCTTTTTCTTGCTATTAGGTGTATTACGGTAACACCTATGCACCCCAATTAGGACACGTCTACACTGCAGGGCAAAAATCGAAGTAGGCTGCACAACTGGAGCTACATCAAGTGCGTAGCTGAAGTCGAAATGGCTTAATTCGGCTGGTGGCTCTTCCTCCGGCCTCCCTTCCTCCTCGTGAAAAGAGGGTTACGGGAGTCGGAGTAAGAAGCCCTCCAGCTCGCCATTACTTCGAAATAACGCTGCTGTGTAGACATAGCCTTAGAGACTAGGATCCCCTGGTGCCCAGTGCTGTACCTTCCCATTGCTAATCGGTGTATTACGGTGACACCTACAGCCCCACTCAGGCCAGTGGGCAAACATGGCACCAAAAGACAGCCCTGGGCATAAGACAGGCGACGCCAGGGGGAGACAGACAGACGGGAGATTGCCATGCAATTTCACAAGCTGCAGCTTCTCACAGGGGCTTTGGTCCCAACTTGGCTTTCCCGTCCACGGGCTTATTTTGAGCGGGCGATGTTCCCTCTCCCCCCGCCTCCGGAATTGAGTTGTCTGCTTTGAAGCCCCCGGCAGACGAGGGCCAGCCCGGGAAAGCCTCGGTGACGGAGAGCTAATCCGCAGGGTACCGAATGCTTTTGCGCCGCCGGTGCCTGGCCCGAGTGAGCTGCATAGTAAATGTATTCTCTCTCTGTCTCTCTCTTCTCTTCTCAGTCTCTGGACGGGTTTGTGTTTGCACTAAACCAAGAGGGGAAGTTTCTTTACATCTCCGAGACGGTGTCTATTTACCTCGGGCTCTCGCAGGTAGGAGCACAGCGAGCTGAGCACTCCCATGAATAATGGATCCGCGTTAGAAAAAAATTCCAATCAGGTGGCCAGGCCGTGCGGCGGCTTAAAATGCACCTGCAACGTGACCCAGCAGGCTGCCGGGTGCATAGTAAGGCAACTGTCTAGCTTGAAAAGGGTCTCCTGGTTTGCCACCGAGCCACAGTGTTATCCCCAGTGGCCCGGTTCCCACTGAGGCCAATGGCACATCTCTCGTTAAGTGCAGTGTGAGCAAGAGCCAGGCAGTAACTGTCTAATGGGAACCACAGGGCTGGTCTGGAGGCTATTTCTGGGGCTGGTGGTTAGTGTACAAGGCTGGGCGCCAACGCACCTGAGTTCTAGTCCTAGCTCGGAGAAGGGAGTGGGGCAGGTGGCTGTGGAGGTAAAACATTTCTGCTGACTTTCCTCTCTGACTGTGGGCTACTCTGTTCCTCAGTTTCCCCATCTGTGAAATGGGGCTAATCCTTCTTTGGAACATGCTCTAAGGCCAGCAGCTGGAAAATGCTGAGAAGTCAGACATATAAATTAAGGGCTGGATTGTCCTTTATTGGGGGCTGGATGTGGTAACAGGTGCTACTGGTCACAGTCAGCGGAGGTCTGGAAGGCAAGGAAAGGAGGGTTATGTGCCAGGGTATGTCACGTGTCTGTGGGCCCCCCACCTTGCAGAGGGCCCGTCACCAGGCTGGGGGTCTGATGGGAATTATAGCTGGTTGGGAAATAGATTGTTTGCCCTGTGAAAAATGTTCAGGTTTCTGTTTATATTTGAGAAATGTTCATAAAATGACATTCCCCCCCACCTCCCTGCAACATTCACTGTGGGCCAATCCATCTGACAGCTTTTAATGTCTGAAATACAGCGAATGGTGACATCACAAGTCTGCTTCTGTAGGAAAGATCACAATGTTTTTTGGTGGTAGAAATGTAGCCGTGTTAGTCAACGGTTTATGGGCAGTTCAACATTTTCAAAAAATCTTCTCCAATGTTTTTCCAGATATGATTTTACA